TGGATCTGATAAGATCCAACGGTCCAGATGATGCCAGAAGGAAACCCTAGGGTTTGATACCCTAGGACCACGCGGCGCCGCTCCAGCTTCCACGCGGCTGCCGACAGCCCTCGCCGCCTCCGCCGCTGCCACATCCCAACCGAAGACTCCAGAAGATCATATACCAGCCGTCCATGCAAGGCTACGGGGTGAGTCACCACTGGTAGTCCGGTGACTCACCGAAGCCCCCTCTTCGGACCGGTCCGAGACGAACACCGGTGGTGGCTATAAAAGCCACCACCCACCTGCGAAAAGAAAAAAAAAGAAGACAGAGATATACAACGAGACAGAGAGACAGAAAAAAAGAAAAAAAGACGAGAACGAGACATAGAAAAAAAACAGAGAAAATCCAAACTATTACCAACGATCTCAGCAGCAAGAAAACCAGAAAAAAAAAAAGGAAGAGGAGACTTACCGAGGAAGCCTCGACCACCGGATCTCGTCAGAACCAACAAAAACCGAAGGTATATTTGTAGATTTGCTCCGATTGGGAGCTTCTTAAGGAAAAAGAATACCGGAAACGTTCTTAAGACGTCCCGATCTATTTAATGGTGTCAAAATACAATTTTCCGGCCACCGGATACGGTGGCCGGCGGTGATAATCACGGCGGCACACAGTGGCCGACCGGTGACCGGCTTCCCTCCGGTGAGGGAAGCTAGAGAGAGGCGAGAGAGTTTTTAAACTCTCTCGGTTTAGAGAGAGAAAAGGAAATGAGGAATGAAATGGTTGGCCCTTCGGGCCAGTCGATTTGGACTCTTATAGTCCTTCCCGAACGACGTCGTTTCGGGAAGGACTATGTGCGTAATTATGAAATAGTTAAACCCCGTCCGCAGTCCTTCGTATTTGTAAATTTTACATTTTAGTCACTAAATTGAATTTATAATCTTTTTAATTTAGTCTTCGAATTTTAATTTTATTTATTTTAGTCCTTCATATTAAAATAATATATTTAGGATAAATTACAGATTTAATCCATTAATTTTAATAAATAATATTTTAATCCTTAGTTTATATTTTTAATTTATTTGATTCTAATATCCAAATTTTAGATAATTTTATTTTAGTCACCAAATAAAGAAATAACATATTTAATCCCTATAATTTAGATTAATTATGAATTAGATTTTTAATTTTATTTTTTAGTTATTTTATATGTTTTCATTTATTTTATTGTTTTTAAATATATTGTTTTAGTAATATTTGTATTTTTATTATATTATTAAATATTAAATATTTTTATAAATATATAATAAATAGTTTTTTTTTAAATATTTATTTTTAATATCGAAGAAAAAGGACAATCTTAATACAACTGGATGTCCTATTCTGATATTTTAAAATTAAAAAGTAAACAATATTATTAAAATTAATATTTATCAATATCAAAGAAAAGAGCTGTCTTAAGGCACCTAGAAGTTCTTTTCGGATATTTTTAAATAAATAAATATTTTTTATATAATTTTGAAATAATAGAATTATAAATTAAATATATTTTTGAATTTTTAAATTTTAATAATAGAGACAATTTATAATTAAAAAGTACCAATTTTGGGCGTTGTAGGGGTGCTAATCCTTCCCTAAACGTAACCGACCACGAATCCCTTTTTATTATTAAAAAGAACGAATTTTTGGTTATAAAACGCAGATCAGTTCATCTTTTAAATATTGTTTTCTTAAAAACTCTTTTAAAAGATATTTTTTAGGTATTCGACCTACCTGACCCAAAAGGCCGATGGCGACTCCCAAATTATTTTCAAAATTATTTATTAACATTAATTTCCCCGCCAAAAAGTAAAAATTCGTGCCCGGACGAAAACCGGTTACGACAGAAGATATTCCAACAGATTGTAATAATGCAAGTCTAGATTTTGACAGTACATTGTGTTCGGGTTATTGGCATTGATATTTGGTTTTATGTTACCTTTAAAAGTTCTATATTCGGCCATTTGGGACACCTCTACTTTGGGTCATAGCATAGAGCAGAATCTACCATGGTTCGGTTAAGCCCATTTTCATGCTTCGGCCATGTCTTTTAAGATTTCAGATGTCTTGCCTTGGACATGCATAAACTATGTTTCACGTGTATTCGTTTTTTTTTCTTCAAATTTTGTTCATAATTTGGAAGGATGGTTATCACATATGTTAGAACGTAGATATATGAAGCTAATTTCTGCACATTATTTGATGATGTAAAAGCTGATTCGTACTAAAAAAAACTCGAGACTTGTAAGAAGTTTCAACTTTCGAGCATCGAATGTGTTGAGCATGTCCTCATACCATTGAATCAACCACCTAATTCTTTTTCGATTTCATACCATTGAATCAACCACCTTGTTCTTTGTTGATTACTTCTAAAAGAATTTATTATTGCGAACAATAATGTAGACATATAAAAGTAGATTTTTATTGCAATAGATTTTCAGTTGTATGAGGATTAATTCTCAATTAATCTAGTGCTGGTTCAACGAATATTAAATGATAATTATTATTTTTAAATACTTGGTAGTGATATATAGCGGCATTTTTGGAACAAACGCCGCTAAAGGTCGAGATTTATAGCGGCATTTTTGGAACAAATGCCGTAAAAGGTCAGATCTATAGCGGCGATTTTGGAACAAATGCCGCAAAAGGTCGAGATTTATAGCGGCGTTTTTGAAACAAATGCCGCAAAAGGTCATATCTATAGCAGCATTTTTGGAACAAACGCCGCAAAAGGTCGGAATTTATAGCGGCGTTTTTCTATACAAACATCGCTAATTACCTTTCATTAGTTAATATTAATTGATTTTGCATATTTAATTTATGCTCTACAACACCTAAATTTAATATCATTTAGCTTTATCTAATTAACAACCATAAATTTTAATTAAGGCACAAACTTGAAATCCATAACAAGAAACTTGAAATCCATAATAATAAATCAAAGTTTAAATTACGTAAAATATAATGTAATTCAACATTGTTAACTAGAATAAACAATAATAACACCTAAGATGGGAAAGAACAATTTGTAGTCTATACCACACAAAAGACCTTTACAACCATCACTAGTAGTGAACTAGTGATAAAACTCAAAGTTCTCGTCATACAGAAAAGGGGAAAGAAGAAATGTGTTACATTTGGAGGTTGCCCTACTGTACTCCTCAAGCTTAATCTCTAATTCAGGCCTATCAACCCTGCCATGTCCTAGAACAGGAAGTTTGACAAAAGTTAGTTGAATCAAATTGTATAATTTACATAGTTAGTCGAAAGCCTAAAATTATCGGTCACAGAAAACCTAGGGACATTAAATAAACCATTCAAGTAGAAAATATGAGCACTTTGAAAGCAATGTTTAAAAGAAGGAGCGCATAATTCATGGAACTGTTATGAACCTAGAAAGGGTTGTACTTGTTCCTAATTAAGATAAACAACATATACAAAGGTTTGCTACCTTTGTTAATGGTGAATTTTCCACAAGAAGATAAAAGAAATCTTACAATTTTCTTGTTTTAATATAATATCAAATGAAAATTATGAATACAAGCTACTTACCAAAATTAACTATAATTAATTATGATTATGAAAGATTATGAAGTAAATAAAAGTCAATGCTCATCACTTGAAGCATCGATTTCCATCTAGATCTCGCTGAACCATTTTGTTATTGATGCACATATATTTATTAATAAGAGAGATGGACAGAATGTATACACTCTCTTTGCGTTGAAATGCATATTTCTTTATTTTAATGAACCAGTACACTATAAAATACCTGAACAATGGCTTCAATGCAAAAGCTTTAAGTGTGAAAGGAAAGTAAGCAACAACCCTGCAAGTCAACAAAGAAATATAAGTTGAAAGGAAAACGTTATGATATTTTTATTCACAACTAATCAGTTGAAAAATGTCTTGACATCAATGAACAATATATATTTCGTTTATTAGATTGGTACAATAGCAAATCAAATGCAATGCATAAAGTAAACAAAAAAATAGATGCTAATGGAAGCGTAAAGAAATTACAGGAGGATTTCAATGTGACTTACATCACAAGTGGACCCCAAGGTCCAAGATCCTTGTCAACCCATAACAGAAAATCCTTCAGAATCTGCAAAGAAAACTTGTTTTCATCAACATAGAGGGAAAAACCAACTGGCTAATTGCACTAACATGTAATATTTGGAAAGCTAGGGGGGGAACTGAAATCCTTAAGAATTCATGACCCTACTTAATCTTGTATTCCTCATAAATCTTGGCTTATATTTACCCCAACTTTGCCATTTGTTTTAGTTTCAGAAATGGTATACAATTAGCTTGTTTTACATTAGGTTCAAAAGTAGAGCCTTGGATGTAAATTAATCCTCAAAACCTACGAACAAAATCACAAATTTGCACTTATAACATCATGCCCTAAAAATCATGAATATGAAGTAATGTATACAAACAACCAAATGCAGTGAGCTATAAAACCCTTCAATTCTAGTAATATATGATATACATTATATTGCATCCTTTTTAAGTTTCTTTAAGTCAGATTTTCACTGGTACCATCAAAACCATTACAACGATTACATGAAAAGCATGCACATCATGCAACTCGTGAACTCCCATTGTCAAAAATCCCATCACTTTTGAAGTTCTCTAGAATGCCCCATTGGAACAGAATGCCAAGGGAATGCAAGTACAGTAGGGGAAGGGGATCATGCGGGGCCTACATCCCTAGCTAACAAGTTGTCAATCTATGGAAGGATGCATGTAAGAGAACTTAATGTTACCCAAAGAAAAAGAAACTTCCTGCATCCACTTGGAAATGTGGGAAAACCAATAATTCAGCAGTGCAAAATAATGTTTAAAGGAATTTTAAATGGTTTCATGGTTAAAAACATATACCAAACTATAAAATTAGATAAAAAGAAAAAAATTATATATATAATTAAAATTTAACTCACACTTCCTACTGTCTTCTGAACAACATCAACGTTGGAAAGCCCTTTTAGCTTCCAAAGTCTGCACTCTAAGCTTCAGATCACCTTGTTCCTGTAATATGCATCATTTTGCAACAGTTAACACAACACTATTTTAACCTTTCAAAATATATTATAGGAATCTCGAACCCTACCAATCTTTGGATGGTTTCAGCAACCTTCTCAACTCTATCTGCCTGCCCAAATAAGTTATAGAATGCACAGGGCTGTCTGTCCCATGTCTTTCTGAAGTCCTGAAATATTTATATAGGTTATCATGAAAATGGAACTTTATCATGAAAATACAATTAAATCTAGAATCTAAGATTAGAATATTACCTTCAAGGCAACTTCAACTCCAGCTTCACGGAATCTTAACAACTCCAGTGCATAGCTAGAAGCAATAAAGTGCAATATAATCAGATATACAGACAAAATAAATGACTAAACCATAATAAGGTAAGTAAAAATTATAAGGATCTTAAAGAGATAAAACCACACTCACGGTTTTGCAATCTCAATTATGTCAAACAGAGGATCAAGGCCCTTCCCTATGCCATCTAATACTGCATGTGAAATAATATGTTGTGCTTAAGTTCTTGTTCAATACAGCACAAATATAAATGAAGCCACCAGGTTAATGTATTACCTGAAATGATCTGACAACAAATGTGAATGTGGCAGGGAATCGAAAGGGTTGATCTGCTGCAATGGTTAATAAATCTTCCCATGTTCATGTAATGTAAAATTAATGAGAAGCAGTAACCTACTAAAGAAAAAATGAAAGGGTAAACAGCTGAATCTTAACTCAAAGGGATATATGGAAATCAATATCAGAAGAAAAATAGTTCAACCTTAAAAGATGAAGGTCTTTCTAAGGACTTTCAACTGAACCTCATATAAAGAAAGACAACTCAAGTTTTCAAGTGCTTTCAGTAGTGAACCACAAGTAATGTGTACATGAAAAACATTTTTCGTGTCAAGAGAGAAAAGGCCAGAGCTTGCAAGGGAGGCAACATTTTCATAAGACATAACACCGATTTTTTTTCTAAACTGATCTGCTAGTAACAAAGCTGACATTATCTTTTTCCTCTGATTGCTTATTTATGTATGTCCACGTATTATAAATGTCAAATAAATTGCAAAACAAATTAACCTATTAGATGCTTAGTGAGTCTTCCCCACTGAAGAATATGAAAAGGTCTCATTTCCTCTTTGTCGAGTTAATTGGCACATTAAATCCTTAATGATGTATTCAAGAGTGTAAAACCTTAGTTTACATTTATAAAGATAAAAAGCATAAATATATTACTGATTGCAGCCAGGCGTTCCTTTTTTTCTCTATCTTTTCCTCCTTTGTCAATGGAAATAGAAAACTACAACTTATGTATCTCTACTACAACTATTGGTCTTGATACCTAGAAAAGGTATTATAGGCTACAAGAAGTCTCCCAATTATGGGAATATACTAATAGGCTACACCATTTTTTTGCGGAACAATTTCTAATATCAGTAATTTAGGTTTATAGTTGTATCATAAACCTTTTCTTGCTTAGCAAAGAAAAATTATGCTAGGAGGAACTCACTAAGTTGATTTTGTAATCTGAGAAAATAATTATATCAAGCAGGTAACTGCCAATTACAACACATTTTAGTTCTAAAAGGAAATACTAGATATATGAAATGAAAAGCACACCATTCCTTTGAAACTACGGCATGAAATGATATATATGCTACAATTTTAAGTGCAAAACATAATAAGCAACCCATGCCACTTCACCTAGCATTTCCACAAATAAACTCGAATATCTTGAGCATCCAAGGTATTTGTATAAAGACAAAATCTTACTGGGTCAGCATGAAAAAACCCATGAGAAAATTTGTTCCAAGTAAGATTCAACAGCATATCTGCCCAACCTGCATCGCATATAAATGTAATAATTGTCAAGACAAGAAGGGTAACTTACCCGGATTAAAAAAACCCATAAAATCATCAAATAAATCAAATTATCAATCCAAAGGAGAAAACAAGAAGTACCCAGATCAGAAAACCAAAAGAAAAAGGCAAAATAAAGAATAGACAAGAGAAAAGAAATATACCCAGATCAAGAAAACGTGTAAAAAGTAAGAAAACGTGTAAAAAGCTAGAAAACCCAAACATTTTCAACGAGGAGGGTGAAACAAGCGAAAACGATAGCACAAGAAGGAGAAAGAGTGATTCTAAGAGAGGAGCCCCAGGTGAAAGCCATTGACAACCTGTGACGCCAAGGCCTACACGCTTCGTCGTTGCTGTTAATATCGAAGATTTCAGGTTTAAACGATGAACGAGCCCTCAGTCCTTCTATGGTTGCCAGATTTTGGGAAGTAAGAAGTAAATTGAAAGAGAAACGTGGGTATCTTTCTGATTGCGTTTATTGCAAATTTTCAATCGCTTATTGGCGTTTTTCCCACAGATAAACAATTGTTTCGCGTTGCTTAAAGTGAGATTGGCGAAAAGCATCATATGGGTTTGGGTAAACGGCGGGAATGAAAAAATAGGTTAAGGGGGAAAAATGAGAAAGGGTTAAATGCCAATAAAGTACTAGGTTTTAGCGGCGTTTGTCTAAAATTGTCACTAAAGTATGAGTATTTAGCGGCGTTTTTAAATAAAACGCCACTAAAGTATTAGGTTTTAGCGGCGTTTATTTAAAAACGCAACGATATATGTACCCTATTGCGTCGTTTATTTAAAAACGCCACTAAAGAACGATTCTATGACGGCGTTTGTAAACAAACGCCACTAAAGTACTTATCTTTAGCGCGTTTGTCGAATAAACGCCACTAAAGTATGAGTTTTAGCAGCGTTTTTGCATAAAACGCCTCTAAAGTACTAGGTTTTAGCGGCGTTTATCTAAAATGCCACAATATATGTACCCTATTGACTTTTGTTTAAAAACGCCACTAAAGAACGATTCTATGGCCGTTTGTTTAAAAACGCCACTAAAGTACTTATCTTTAGCGGCGTTTGTGAATAAACGCCACTAAAGTATGAGTTTTAGCGGCGTTTATTGAAAAACCCGTTAATGTTATCATTTAGTGGCATTTTGGATATAAACGCCGTTATATGTACAAATTTAGTGGCGTTTGCTTTGAAAACGCCGCGACAAACGCCGCTATATACTTGTTTTGCTGTAGTGTGTTTTAAGTTTGTGTTGTTTTTTATAGATCATATTAACTTTTTCTTATTTGATTTTTTTTAGCCGACGACGACATCGATTTTGATGTTAGTTGTCGACTGTCGGTTCTCTTTTCTCTTTATTTTTTTAATAAGAATAATTATGCCTTTGTGACACGTTTATCTCTTCCTTGGTGACACATTTATCCCTGCCTTTGTAGCACTTTTATCTCTACCTTTATGGTAAGTTTTTTATTTTTTCTCGGTTATTTGACCGTTCTTTTATTTATGTTTTCTCAGGGTTGGATTTGTAACACCCCAAATTCTAAGCTAGTAGTTTCAGGTTAACCTGAGGGGTAAGTGGACCCGTGGAAATTCAATTTTAAGTCATTGGGCTTAATTGGGTTTTAACTGGGTCCAATTAGCCATAAAAATGAGATTTATGTTTAGTAAAAAGATGAGAAGGACCAAAGCGTAAATTGCCCAATTTTAAAAAGATTGAGGCTTTATTTCTCTTCATCTTCATCTTTTCTTTATTTCTTCTTTCATTCCCATTTTCTTCTCTTCCTCCTCTCCAAGTTCCATAAGTTAAAGGTAAGTCCCTTGAGTCATTTCCTACTTCTTTTAAGCTTCAATTTCGTTCCTAATCCCTCCAATAACATCATTTTAGTGATTTAAAGCTTTAGGTTCTTTGGTTGCAAGAGAATTTGGGGGGGGGGTTATCCAAGACTTGGCATAAGGTATTTGCTAGCTAAATGAGCTCTATTTCGGGATTCGAACATCAAGGTAGTGTATTTCTAATCCTTTGAAGTATTAAGCTTTCATAAATTTCAAGAATTTGCTAAGATTTGATTATTTAAGTATTTTAGGGTTTATATTTGATATCATGATCAAATTATGTTTTATAGGTGAAAAAGACATTTTTATGCCACTTTAAAACCCTAGTAATCTTCCTAAAGCTTTGGCGCATGATTAAGAACCAACCAAATTATGACCTTTAGGATGATTTTTGGATATTTTCCTGAGCCCAAATAACTATTCCAGGGTTTAAGTATCGATATTGGGATGAACAATATCGATATTGGATGAATTAAGACAAAAATTAGGGATTTCAGGCTGGGAGTATTGATACTTCTATGAGAGTATCGATAATGCCCCTTTAATCTCGAGACTTAGAGTGTTGGTCTTGAGACTGGGCCAAATTTTTAGAAACAAAATACATTTTTGGTGCCGTTACTTATAGGGGTATCGATACTTAACCCTAGGGTATCGATACTGCAAGTAGAGTATCGATATTACTCACTTTGGATGGTCAATTTTAACCCGTTTAAGGCCCATAAGAGCTAAGGATGATCCGTAATAGCAGGACATAGTTCGTGAGGGACATAAATGACCAAACATACTTAGAAATACTCATAGGAGCGGGTTACAACATATGTAACAATATTAAGCATATTACATCAAAATACCTTCAGTCGAGGACATATACGGATTATTTAGGATGAGGACCCGTTGCAGAGGATGTACCGACAAGCAGTACAAGGAAAAAGTCATAATCAGTAATAGCAAAAAACATGAGCTTTGAAAACATCAGCGAACCCAAAAGGGGTGAGTCGTCCCTTTCAGTTCAAGAGGTATTGAAAGGAAGTTGGATAAGAGTGACTAGAGCATTGGTACTCAAAGTTGAACCCAAGTCAAGTATCGGGCTAGTAAATAGTACAGTCATTGATAAGCAAACTCAGTAATCGTTGTAGAATCACTAAACATGTAGATAATTCTCTTGAGGTAGAGTGTCTTGTACGCTCCTAAGTATCGAATAACCAGAATAAAGCCGCTTAATAACTAACAATAGTAACATGATAATAAACCCCAACATAACATTCTAGATAAGAGGACGTACAAGATAACATATAGTGAGGGGTTGACATCACTTTAATGTGTCCAATCATTCTAGGGTATATCATGTTACCTTAGTTACCCTAGTGAGGCATTGTCAGTGCGTGAGGCACTTTAGAAGCTAACTAGGGCATAAGGCCTGAACACTCGCGAGGAGTGGGTTAGTGGTGTCTGTAACGTCCTAAATTTGGTCTTGGTAGTTAGAGTCGATTTTGGGTTAATTTTCGAATTTCCAATAAAAATGAATAAATATTTCTAAAATTCATACTTTTTTTTAAAAAAATATTTTGGAAATGTTTTAAGTGATATTATATGATAAATTTTAATTATGGAAGTTTAATTAAATGATTTGGTGATTGAATTGAAAGAATTGAAAATTATAATTTCGGTGATCATTTTGTAAATTTTCACAATGTTATGAAGCAATTACACCAAGGATTCCATCTAGATTCATTTTGATCTAAATTACATTTGCTTGTTTTTATTCACGTGCTTTTCATTAACTTCTCATTTTA